TTCGGAGCATCTGTTTTGATTCGAATTCACAAGAAGGGCTCTCGTAGTGAATCAGCTAACTACCGTGGAACCTTACTTATCTCTGTGGCGTCCAAGCTTTTGTGTCCGTTCTGCTGCGTAGGCCTCTGTTACCAGAGATTTTGTGTCGTGAGGAACAGGCTGGCTTTCCTTCTGGCCGTGGTTGCATTGACCAAATTCTCACGTTGCGCCAAATTCTCATACAATGTCTTACCCAGCGAAGACCAACAATAGTGGTATTTTTGGATATCCGAGCTGCTTTTTATTCAGTAGACAGGTCGTCACAGTGAAACTGTCAGTTACGGGATGACGTTTCTTACAAGTTTGTCATAATCTTGAAAGAACTGGATAGTCACACCTCTGTCAAAGTTAGAGGTTATGACAGGCTTTCTTCTTCGTTTCCTGTTACTAGTGGAGTGTGCCAAGTTTGTCCTATCTCGCCGTTCCTGATCAACTTCGCTATCGAAGTTTTCCTGCATCATGCACTGCAAGGAGCCTAGAGCTGCGGCCTTGAGCTTCTACCGCGGAGAAGGGTCGTGGACTTCGATTATACTGATGACATCACTTCGCTAGGGGACGATTCTCAGGTTGTTCAAAATATTCCGAACCATTTAGCGAAAGAGGCATCTAAGTATGGTTTGTGTTTTCTCCATGCAAGTGTAAAGCTTTGCTCCAAGTTTGGCAGACTGCTGCGCCTACGCTCACTAGTTCGGGTGTCAGCCTGGAGCTGGTTATCAAGCTTTACTTAACTCGGGAGATGCCGTACGGCTGATGGCGATAATGGTGATAAAATTTCACAAGGAATTAACAAAGCTCGCTTTGCATTTATTAACTTGAGACATTTGTGCAGCCGTCGCGATGTCAGTTTCAAGCTCAAAAACCCAGTGTACAAGGCCACAGTTCTGGCTGTCCTATTGCATGACTGCAAGACCTGGCCTGTTTAATCGGAAGATTTGTGATGGCTGCCTACTTTCGACAACCGCTGCTTGCGTTCAGTTTCTAGCTTATGGTGGCTGCACCATGTGAACAACGCAGAAGTTAGAAGCAGGATCATGGAGCGGACAGTAGTGATCTCCAGAGCATAACCATTCAGTACCGCTTGCTTTGGCTCGGTCCCTCATTGTGCATGCCGACCCACCGTCTTCAAAGTCAAGCATTATTTGCACTTCCTGAACGCAAACAGAAAAAGAGCCGCGCCAGACAACCCATGACCTAGGAAAGGAGTATGAAGATACTAACTTCGTGTCTAGCGTCAGTTGGATCCGTACGTCTCCCAGGCTGGGGACAATGTGAATCGGATTCCCAATCGTTTGAAGTTTGGAGGATACGGCCCACATTAGAAGGTAACGGCGTCAACACTGTTTTACCATTACTACATCCTGTATTTTTAATGTTGAATAAAACATGAAAACAAAAATCTAAAAATGGCATGTGTGCAACTGAAAAACACACTTTTCCAACCTTTTACTTTCTCTCTCCTCGTTGAGTATCATACTCTCTGTTTTCTACCACTATTGTTGTGATGGCACATTGGTCTGTTTACAGAAGTGAATAAATATATACTATATATAAATTGACCGCAATATCAGCTATTTGAATGCTTAAGCAATTCTCTGTCACCATACTGAGATCTTGCGGCTGATACGCTCGGTTTACTAAGTTCGGCTCACTGCGAAGACTTTTGGCGTTAGTCTGCAAACAGGATAGTGTTTTGGATGCTCAAATTGCGTTGGCGCACGTCGAATTCCTGTTAAATTTTAAGCCAGCATTTTGGTGGCCTGCCACTAGTTGTTTCATGCACGGGACGTTGCTTCTTGAATGTCGGTCAGGCGGCATGGTAACGCAGAGCATTGCTGATTGCGATTTTCTCTCCTACGTCTCTGTCCTGTGAGGTACCGTGAGTGCTACTGTGTCTATCACAATACAGCATTGTGGATGCAAATGTTTTACCGAGGTTACACCTTCCAGCGAATTGTTGACCAATTGTGGCCGCGCGCTTGCTATCTTAAGTCGAATTTCGGTTGGCAACCTGGAGAGATACTTCAACCAGCTATCAAATAGGACTTCTGTCATTACTTCGGAGTGTAGTATGAGTTTAAGTACTTTAAACCGCAGCCCGCTTAGATGCGTGTTAAAGGAATCCTCGTCATTTATTTAGCGATAACTTTGTCCAGTGAGAGTGCTTTGTGGATGTAGCACCACTGCTGTCAGTAATGAGTTTGTGCTTCGTGATAAGGAGAATCCGGTAGTTTACGAACACAGTGAACAAACAAGTTTTCTTGCTATCACCATTAGGATGTTCACCATGGTTTTCATTTTCCTTTGACCACCCATTCCAAAGAACGTCTGATGGTATACGTACTCAGCTTGATGAGCCGTGAAAATGAACTTCTGAGAGTAGGACGGGGTCTGTCACTTCTGCTGAGTTCAATGTTAATCGAAGAAATTCGGTAGCAATAGTCGCTGTATACATTAACCTATTTTCGGGTGGCAACAAACCTTAAATGGCATACATTGACAATTCTATTTTAAGCATCCAATGCATCTTCGCAGTAAGTAAGTTAGATAGTTTGAACAACTATTTAACCACTACGTTCAGATTATCCATATGGTACTCACCTCTTCCCCATTTTCTTCGTTATAAAACAACGAGTAACTAAAAGCATCTGCAAACTAATTATTCTAACTTGCTGTTCTGATAGCGCTGCTTTTGCTAGCAATGATTATACTTTGTAAGTGCTTGTTGAAACACAAACCTCTGCGTACGAGTTGAGCTAGTGACAACAATAAAATCCTTCAATACCAATGATGACAGATGATACAGAATTGTGCCATGATTAATTAGGCACAAACAGGCACTCAGTAAAGTCGGATACATCTTACCTCAGTCAACTTTACACTACCGCTTTCATTGTGTTCCGCTGCAAACACAGCAGTCCATGAGAGGTTTCAGATTGATAACAAAACTGGATCTGGAATTAGCAGCTTAGAGGGTTTCAGCGGAGTCCTTATTTACTGTGCTACCAAATGCTGAGTTCTGTAGTTATCGCAAAGAACGGTTAATCAGTACTGGGTAATTTTGAATACCTGACACGTAATGAAAACATAATACAATATCCCAGCTTTAACTGCAGATTATTGGAAATCATATTCAATCAGATTGGTAAGTTGTAAGGCAGCGGAAGCTTGTGAATATAGGGATGTACCTCTCCGCACACTACACTTCGCGATGGAATACGTGTCTCAGACAAATACTAAAAGTTTAGGCGCACAAAACAGCATTACAATATCAACTACTGCATGTAACGCCAGGTATATACATATATATACGCATATATACATATATTTGTCAACTGTTGATCAGGCTACTGAACTTCTCGTGAGTTGTCCCCCAAGGATTCGCAGTGCAAATTGTCACTGTGTGAGATAATTCTACAAAAGTGCGGACTTTGATTTGTTCTGAACCATTACACCAATCACCTACTAGTTCCATAAATTCTGATATAGATAATTGAACTCGTAAGGCAAATAATGAAATGTCTCCTAATAGATACTTTAATCACTAACCGTTGACGCTTAACATGTTTCTTCTTGCTTGCCTCAAAGGCACTCAGTTTTAAGTAGCCATTTACTTTAATGGCTAAGCAGTGAAAGTCAGTATTTAAGTAGCGGATTCACACAGCGCCTTTAACAAGAGCTACCGGAAACTATCACTTTTGACACACCTTACATGCTCATTACCTCAACTTCACGTTCTTTACATTTATCTCATCATTGTTACCGCCGCCATTAACCGTCAGTTGTTTCTACATTTAGACAAGAGTATGAGGCATTTCAGTAAGAAATCTGCTTGATCGAACTTGTTTCCAGGCATACTCGTCATGTAAAGTGGTTTCGACATGCGATCTAGATTTAGAATAACCTCGACTTGTTGATTTGCTTCCGTGTTTCAAACAGAGCACGCATTAGCATTGAAGACATTCCTGCTGTGCTTGTCTTCGCCATTTCACTCAAAATGAGTTTTGGACTTGTTTACAGTAACAACGATAAGCTAGTCGCTTCCGTTTATGGAACCCTAGGTTTTATCAGTCGATGCCTGAAATACTAAACGTATGGTTCTTGTAAGAATGCTTGTTACGACGGTTATAGATACGAACTTGCCTTTGAAACAAAAAATCTCTAGAGCAGCTTCGAGGCACCACTGTTCACTGAACATGGCTTAAACTTTAATAGACTTGGGTGACAACTCTCACTGAGCCTACAAGCAGCTCAGTGCTGAATAGCAACGTTTCACTTCATGCAAAAATTTGTCGCCTTGAGGTTAGCAGTCTTCCACATATACACTGCTTTATCGGTGGTGACAAGTTACTTAGTTGGATAATCCGGTGTACAGTTTTGAAAAATAGGAAAATATGTAACTTATGTTCATGGCAAGTTTTAGTGCTAATATATAAATAATCAGTGACAGTTTGAGCGCATTTTGCACATTTTTGCCTGCAACGGCGGAAAGCTTAACAGTAGTTAGTAAAATAAACCCACCAACCGACGCTTCCTATCTATATATATATAATACATAATTGTATACGTAGTTGTATGTGCAACAAACTAAAGTGAGTTTTAGCAACTTCAACGCGGACTTGAGTGGGGTACGTACGGCTATCTTTGAGACTTTTGAAGTAACTGCCGAAACTGATGCAATATGCAACGTTTGAGTGCATCGCTTCTAACTGTAACAAAAAGGTTTGGATGTTAGCAAACACAAGGAATATCCTCGAACAAAAATATCAACATTTATGCGAGTGAACGAAGAATTTCGATCAAAAGTTTGAGATTAAAATAGTTCAGCTGAGGGGCACACGTGCATGTTTTATTTAAGCTTTATCTTTGGAGTGCACAGCAGAATGGACAATTTATCAAAAACCAATAGAATGTTGGACCTTCGTTAAAAGTTCATTTTGTTCGCAATGTCTTCCTTCGAAATTCTATATACCTGGGTACTTAGGAAACACCGTGTTTTCCACATTGAAGTCACACTTCTCACGGTTTCTTGAGTTTAACATGAACATGAGTTCCTGTTGCGATTTCCAGACGGATTGCGGCTTCGGATGCGTTAAAACGCGAATAGTAGCATAGTCTGCCTTTAGCTCGAGACCGTAGCAATCATCGATCATTCCGTGTGCGTGCTGCTTCAACTAAGCACAAGATGAACGGAAAGTCATGAAATGTTATTGTGTCATGCTGTATAATGTCATTGTCAAGTTACGAATGATGTACCAAAAGTTTGCGTGTATCGTTAGACTTTCCGTTTGAAATGTATAAAAGAAATACCTAATATACTAACCGGAAGGTTATAATCGGAGTAATAGAGGTAAGTTGAAACCGCTCACAAGGCATTTTAGCATGTTTCATGCCTATAACCCACAGTTGTCCCATAAACTCAAGTGCTATAATTAAATTTTTGAAATTTAGCAGCAGTAACGGTTATGTGACTAAATGTAGGAGAGCGTGTTTTGTGGAACGCTCTTTTGGCATGGACAGTGTAGGCGTAGCAATGACAGAATCGGGAATAGTATTCCTGGTGCAGAAAACAAGGGGTGAAAAGAAGTTCCAGTTAAATTTTAAGCAGATGAGATCACGAACCGTATGACAAAAGCTGGAAGTGCTTTTGCTAGTCTTCACCATTTATGACGGCGGTGCGACATCATTCTCGCCCTGAAGAGTAGAGTGTACAATGAAGCGGTAGGTTCGACCCTATTGTACGGTTGAGAAACCTGGCTCCTTAGATCAACCGACCTAAAGAAGCTAGTTAATTTCGACCACTGGTGCCTTCGCAATTAAGCACACAACTGTTGGGAACACCCAGCTAGCAACAAGCCTGTTCGACGCCTTGTTTCGGCACAGGAAAAGGAAATGAACCGCTTATCACCGTTATTTCACGCACCAGGCTCCGATGGCTCGGCCACGTGTTACGCATATCCGCTCACCGACTCCGGCGACATAAGTTGTTTGCGCGCCGGGGGTGTGGATGAAAGAAAAGGAGGGGTGCCCAAGCGATGACTTGGTCGAGAGGAATGAAAGCCGTCACTTCGATCTGGCCTCGGTTGGAGTGTCACGGCTGCCTGGTTGGTGTTCAAAAGACGATGAACGTGTTTGGTTAGATACGCTTGCTGATATGGCTAGGAGCCGACGTCAGTGGCGCTCCTGCTGTGAGTTTCTTTGTCCCTCCTCATCCCTTTTAGCCTCCTTTTCTAACCACGATCTCATTTCGTAGCATAATGTAATTTTACAAAATGATGTTTCTTGTTGCCTAGTAGCCGACTAGTAGCTTACCGGAATGATGCGCGCCGGTTGCTGGTAACTCAGTTGGCATGCAACTGTTGTATTTATTTTCCTTTTCTTTTATATCTTGCGGCACAGTAGCTGAGGTGTTTCCCACCTCTAGCTAACGTGTATACTGATGAATGATGATGCTCAGTATTGCATTTCCGACTGGAGATACTGGACTCTGAATGGGACTATAGCAAAGCTTCACCAGATGAAGGCACTTAAGCTTAGGACACCATACATCTCCATATACATAAGAAGGCACACAGATCTCCTTAATCTCATCAGCTGTCCTTCAGCTAAAGGAAACAAATCGCTAACGTTGTAGTCACAGATAGTGAAATACCCAAAAAGAATATACACTCTATTTCATAAATATTCAGCGCATTTGTATACTGAACTTGAGCGCGTATTTATCCAGTGGGCATTTGAGAAATCAACGAAAAGCTATAAGTCAACATTGCTTGTGAATTTCAGTATTTTATCATCATTCTTCAATGTCAATTTCTATTGTTCCAAGCTGTCAAGACTCCTTTGGAGCAGATCGTCAAAACCATAATAGTGGAAAGATTGCTAGATAACATGGTAGTCAACCTTCTCTAGATGAGCCGCATCATATTTTAGAGCCAGCTGCCCTAAGTTGTAATAGATTATGGAACTGACAATCCATACAAGCTAAGTTGTTCAGCTTAAAACAGTACGCGGCCAGCTAGCGCCTTAGCACCCAGCATCCAATGGTCGCATCTGCCATGATTAAAAAACTAAAGAGCCGAAACATGGCGAAAAGGCAGTCTGGTGTCTTTTCGGAATAGTGGTTGAACTAACTTCCTTGTAAGCTGTTGGGGCGAAGTAATATATTTCATCAATATCCACTTTTCCATTAGTAACCCTCTCAGTATTCAAATGCTATGGCGGCTACCTGAAGGTCTCCTCTCCACAGAAGTCTAGCCACTGTCCATACGTTGGTAGAAATCTGCATATTATTGATTCATTACAATTAGATTGCAATCTGCAAAGGTGAGCAACTAATCCGGAAAAACGCCAAACGATCGGTTCGCAATAATGGTGCTTGGCATTGCTGCGCATTCCGTCGGTTCCCTGTTGAGGATCGTACCCATGACCCATAGCGGATTCCACTATTTGTCAGCGCCTTTGCCACTGAGCCATGGGCGGCGACACATGACGACAACAGATGGAAATCGAAGTGCGATCCATTCGGACCCATCGACCACTCGCATGCAGTTTAATGCTCGTACAGGGGACAGTGGGTAACCATGGTGGTCAAGACGTCTCATTCTAATTGACTAGCAGGTTGGAACGGTTGGCCACTATCCCCGTGGCTCAGAAGCATTAGCTACCAGCTAGTTAGCACCAGCTGCTAGCGGTCACGATTTGGTTCCCTTGATGTGGCGGAGTGAGTGCGTGTCACCAAATAATCCCACTTAGGTGAAACGCCCTTCTGGTAATGTTCCAGATTGACGGTAACACTGCGTGGTCTATGAACCGCCGGGACGACCCAGCAAAATTTCAGCAAAATCGCTTATTGCTTATTAGTAAAATTACATAAGGTGAAACCATGACCCCCGCCGATCTGGTAAAAAACAAAAATGAAGGTAACCCAGCAAGTTACATTGGAAAATAGCGCGCTTTACATGGATTGGGTCTGATGCGAATTCGATGTCTTGTACTGTATGGCGCATGTAGGCGAGAAATTTCCTGTTTCACAATAGGAGGTCACTACAAGTAAACGCCTGTGGCCTGGAGATAAACACGTGAGCGATTACAAAATAATTAGTCATTCCCTACAGCAACACATAGCACGTCACTTTAAATAACTTGTGCTGCATGGCCGACCATGATGTAAGTACATTAAGAGACTGCATTAGCCATACATTGTTCTATAATTGTCACTGCAACATTAATATATTACATTCGTGTAAATGAATTATATTGATTAGTTTCATCACCTTGTCACACTCAAATGGCATTCGTGAAACGTTAAGGTTTGACCTTGGTTCCTTTGTTTTCTC